GGGCTCCGTCACAGCATCAAGCGGGCCTACGCCGCCCTGGCGCTGTGCCCTCGCATTGGCTACGGCAGCTCTTACGAGGTCCTCCACTTCGCCTACGATCTGAACCTGTGGTCAGCCCTCGGCGCCAAAAAGCACACGGGCGCGGCCTACGACATCCCGCTCCGCGTCCTCATGAAAGGTCACAGCTTCTCGCCGCTGTACTGGAAGGCGGTCCACTGGGCCCTCATCGACATGGTCCGGCAGCTTGGCCTCCCAGCCATGTTCTGGACTTTGTCGCCCTACGAGTGGTCTTTCCCATACCACCACTGGCTGCGGGACGAGATGGCCAAGGAGCTGCGGGCCCGCTTGCGGCTGCCGACCGCGGAAGTGCTCCACATGGTCCACGTAGTCGGGCAGACCATCAAGGGCGCCATGCTTGGATTGCCCAAGGCGGCCGGATGGAAGGAAAAGCACATCTTCTGCGCGAGAGGCGAGGACGGCCAGCCGCTGAAAGTCCACGCCTTCATTCGGGTGGAGTTTCAAGACGGGACCCGAAAGGCCCCGACGCAGGACTACCACGGGTCAGGCAGGCCCCACTTCCACGTGCTCTTCCTCGCGTCGCCGGAGGCGCTGGCGCAGATGGACCTGCCCGACAAGATCTTGGCCACGGAGCCGACGGCGGAGCCCGGAGATGTGCTGAGCGGCGCGGTCGTGGGCTCCCAGCTGGACCGGAGCGGGGCGAGCAGGCGCCCGCGGCGCGAGGAGCCCAGCGTCTGGGACGCAGAGACTGGCCAGCCGAAGCTGCGCCACACGGCGGCGGACAAGAAGAAGGGCCTGCGAGCTTACTTTGTGGATGTCATGGACGGCCTCCGCTGCCACCAGGACCTGCAGATGGGGGACGGCCGCGCGGCGCTGCGGGCCTACGTGGCGAAGTACGCGGCCAAGTTCAGCGACGCCAGCCAGGACGAGTGGCTGAACGACGCCGCGGAAGCCAACAGCGTCGCGGCCACCGTCCTGTGCCGCTACAAGCCCTACGAGCCGGAGATGATCTTGCAGATGTTTGGGGCCCGATGTCGTCAATGGTTCGTGACCACGCTGACCCGCGGCAAGCGCGACTTCCAAGTCCCGTGGCCGGAAAAGGACCCGCAGCCCAGAGAAGTTGGCCATGCACTACTTGAGGGCGGATTGGGCCAGGGGCAAGATTTCGCTCCTGGATTTCCTCCGCAAAACCAACGCGGACGGCAAGATCTCAGCCTGGCTGAAGAAGGCCCACGCCGAGCTGCCGGAGGACGGGCGCCCGACTCTGGAAGCCCACGCAGCGCGGCACGAGTGCCGCGGAGAAAAGCTTGTGGCGGCGGACACGCTGTCTCGGCTCGGCGACAAGTTCTACGGCCAATGGCTCATGCTCCACGTCCCGTTCGAGAGCCCGCAGGACTTCTTGTCGCCGATCGCCGAGCGGCTGGCGCGAGTCCCGGAGGAGCACCGCAACTTCGCGGCGGCGATGCTCTGCGAGCACGAAGTGGCGCGGCGAGCCTGGGGCAGCGAGGCGGCCATGCGAGAGGAGCTGCAGCTAGAAGCCATCACCCCGGCCTTCGCGGACACGATCTTGGGCTTCGTCGCGGCCAACAAGCAGCTTCTCCAGAAGTACCTGACGGGGGAGGCCAGCGCGGCGGAGGAGGCGGCGGCACGGCAGGCCGGTCAGGCAACGGGCGCTGGCGGCCCCGCCGCGGGCTCGGGGGACCTGAACCGCGAGCAGCGGCGGCTGAAGCAGTCGGTTGACGAGGCGGTGGAGCGCAGCCTAGCGGCGCAAGCTGCGGCCACGGAGGCGGAGGCTGACTTGATCGTCCGAGAGGCCCGCGAGCGCGGCAAGGTCTTCGTCTGCTCGGGCCCGCCGGGCACGGGCAAGACCACCGCGGCGCTGGCTTGCGTGGAAGGCGCTCTAGAAAAAGGAGGCCAAGTCTTGTTCGCCTACCCCACCAAGCGGCAAGCGAGCAGGATGCGGGCCCGAATGAGCGCCGACGTGGCGGTGGACACCTACCACGCGGCGTTCGGCCTGGACTTGGAGCCGGGGGCCTGCGTCGCAGGCCTTGCGCAATACGCCCTCATCGTGGTCGACGAGTTCAGCCAACTCCAGAAGGCCCACTTTGAACACATCGTGAAGTTGTGGCAGATGGCGGACAATTTGCCCGCGCTGCTGCTTGCCGGCGATCCGCAGCAGATCGCCGGGTACGGCGAGGAGCGGGCTTGGCACAGCCCGCTCTGGAAGCGGGCGGCGAGACACATCAGGCTCCACGAGACCTACCGCTGCAAGGACCCGGCCTTCAACAAGATACTGCAAGAGCTGCGAACCAGCCGCCCCTGCGCGGCGACCTTGAAGACCTTGCAGAAGATGAAGGCTTGGGCGCCGCCGCAGAAGCCCGACGCAAACGGCATCCGGAGGCTGCTCAAAGCGCACCCGGAGACAACAGTGCTCTGTTGCTCCCGAGCGGGGGCGCAGAGGGTCAACGACCTCGCGCTGGAGGGCCTGTATCCGAGCGGCTGCCCGCTCGCCGTCGTCTCCGGCGACGTGGAGTCCAACCCCGCCAACTACCAAGACGGCAAACTGAAGGCCGACTTCGAGGAGGGCGACTTCACGCAGCTCCGGTCTATCGAGTTGCCGATCTACAAGGGCATGCGGGTGGTTTTCACGCGCAACGTTCGGAAGGACATCGACTACGTGAGTGGCATGGACGGCCACGTCGTGGAGGTCCACGCGGAGAGCAAGGCGGTCGAGGTGCTAACGAGCACGGGCCACCGCGTCATGGCCTGGCCTTGGAGCGACGTGGAGCTGGGGGGCATGGTCTACCACCCGCTGAAGGCCGGCTACGCGGACACGATCTTGAAGTTTCAGGGCGCCGAGCTGGCGCACGTCACGGCCTACCTGGACGCGCCCAAGGTGCCGGGCGCCGGCTACACGGCCCTGAGCCGAGTTTCCTACGGCAAGGACGTGCTTCTGGGCGGGATCCTCAAGGCGGAGCACTTTGAGCCAGTGAGAGCCGGGTAGGCCACGGATTTTTTGATCTGCAGGCTTTGCTTGCCCGCGGGACGCAGAAAGCTTTCGGAGAAAAAAAGGGTCGAGCGGGGGAGCAAAAGCGTCTCTTGCTTCCGTGTTCTTGCCGCACGTTGCGTCCGGCACAGCCTTCTGAAGCCACGCGGCCATTTGCGGGCGTCCCTTGTTTCGTTGCTGCCATGGCACTTCGATCCGAAGGCTCCAGCGCGGCTTGCGCCGCGGAGCGCGCCCCCTACGCGCGGCTGCCGAGTTTGCGCGAAGCCTGCCGTCTGTCCGACGTGCGCTGCTGAGCAGTTGGACGGCGCTCGGGGCAGCGGAGCGCCAGCTCGAGGCGGACGAGAGCCAAGAAGCTGCCAGAGCCACTCGCTTCCCTGGTCATCGCCGAGGGCCTGACGTTCCAAGCCACAGGCGCGGGGCCGCGCGAGGATGAAGACGGCGGAGCCCCGACATCAAGATTTCTTTAATCCAGAGGGAAAAAAAAAAGGCGACGCGCCCGGGCCGGGTTTCTATAAACCCTAAACCCTAAAAGGTTTAAGATGTGGGTGGTCAAGGGGTGGGGATGCCGCTTTCGCCGCGCGCCCCCACGACCCCCAGGGTCGAGGGCGCGCTTCATCTTGGAAACCCTAAACCCTAAAACCCTAAACCCTAAACCCTAAACTAAAGCTCGCGATGTTGTCCCGCTCGCCTAGAGCGTCGTAGCATCGCGAGCGCAGGGCGCGCTTAGCGACCCGGCTGCGTCTAGCTGCCCTGACTCCTGACAAGGCGAGCAGGAAGAGTTAGCTTCCTGCTCCGTCCTCGCTCTTGATGCGATCATAAGAGGTGACCTGCGCTGACAGCATTAAAATATGGAGCGGTAGCTCCTATATTATAGCACCCTAAAACCTAAGGTCCCGGACCCTAACAGATACCGGAAGTCTTCTTTTGAGAGATGAGCCTCCTTGCAAGGGCCTTGATAAAACGGCCATTGGCCTTGACCGTTGGCCTTGATAAAATAGCCATTGGCCTTGATAAAATGGCCACTGGCCTTGATTTTTAAATAAACTCTAGTAAATAATAGGAGCGACTGGACGCTCCGGAGAGGAAGGGCGACTGCCGAAACGGGGCGCCCTATATAATAGGAGCGATCGGGCGCTCCGGAAGAAGAAGGTAGACTGCCGAAACGGGGCGCCCTATATAATAGGAGCGACTGGACGCTCCGGACGAGGAAGGCTGACTGCCGAAACGGGGCGCCCTATATAATAGGAGCAGCTGTTCGAGCAAGAGGCCTTGCGCCGGCTCGAGAAGGTGATCGAGCTCCGCGACGAGACCGACCCAGCGGCGGCGGAGGAGTTGGCCGCTGAGCTGGAGCGGGCCGGCAGCCCTCTCGTGTGCCTGGGCGAGCCGGGGACCGGGAAGACCTTTGTCGCGGACTACCTCATCCGCTGGGCGCAGGACCAAGGACTCCGCGTCCTCTACGCCTTGCCGACGGGGCAGTTAGCCTGTCGCATGCGGCAGCGGCATCCGGGCCTGGCGGTGGATACGTGCGCCGGGGCCTTCCTGTTCCATCGGCCGCTGCCCGAGGCGCTAGCCCTCCTCTCCGAGTACGATATGGTGGTCATCGACGAGGCATTGCAGCTGAGCGCAGAGGAGTTCGGCCGAGTCGACGCCATGTACCTGGCGGCGGGCAAGCGCCTGCTCCTCTTGCTCATGGGGGACGACTGGCAGCTGCCTTCCATTTGCCCGCAGGGCGCAGCCGACCATCCGCAGTGGCGCCTGTGCCGCTTCGTCACTCTGACTGAGGCGCGCCGCTGTCGATGCCCGGAGCTGGCGGCCAAGCTGCGCGCCATCCGCTGCCTCAAGCCGACCGGGGCGGACGGGCAAAGGATCGTGAACAAGATCTGCGCCCGCCACAAGGCCTGGAGCGGCCACGACGAGCCCACCGCCTTGGATGTTGAGAGCGTCCTGGACAAGACCGAGGGGAAGACCACCTTCGTGACCTGCACCCGCAGGGGCGCGGCCGTCATCAACCAGCACGCCGTGCAAGTGCTTTTCGCGAACCGCAACAAGCGCCCCAAGGCGGTCATTCCCGCGGACTACCAGGAGAACCCGGAGAACTACAACGCGAAGGGCCAGCTGCGAACCGACCGGGCGCCGCTGCCGTCGGACCTGACCGTCTATGTTGGGTTGCGCGTGGTCTTGACCCGCAACCAGGACAAAGAGAACCACTTCGTGAATGGGACGGTCGCGACTGTGGAGGCCTTCGACCCCGCAGCTCGCAGCCTCCGCGTGATGACGGACAGCGGCCGGCGCTTGGCGGTCTACCCCTACACGGACGTCGACGCCCCGGGCGGTCGCGTGGTGTACTTCCCGGTCCGCCTCGGCTACGCGGGCACGATCTACAAGTATCAGGGCGCCGAGTTGGAGCATGTCACGTTGTGGCTGGACCGGACCTACTGCAAGGCCGCCGCTTACGTCGCCTTATCGCGCGTGTCGCGCGACTCTGACTACCTCATCGGCGGGGAGGTCACGACGGCGCACTTCGCGCCCGCCAAGTGAGGGGCGGGCAGTGCCAAATAGTCTTATGAGACCAATCTTTTCCTCGCGAGAGCGCGAGCGTGTCAAAAAGAAAAACGGCGCCTTTGCAGCGCCGACTTGTCTCGCAAGCAAAAGCAAACATTGCCTCGCGCAGGCGTCTGCCCTTCTCTCTGCGCGGCAGCGCCGCTGGAGCACCGCGGCGGCGGCCAGGCCTGTCCTTGCGAGGTCGCTGTTTCGCGTCGCGATCGAGCGCTTCCCAAATCCTTTGCCCGCCGGGCTTCCAATTAAAACCCTACACCCTGAAAGATTTTACTTTGGGTGGTATTGGGGTGGGTTGAAGCTGCCGCCTCGGCGCGCCGCCCCGCGACCCTCTGGGTCGAGGCGCGCCGCTTCCGAGGTGAAACCCTAAACCCTAAACCCTAAACCCTAAACCCTAAACCCTAAATCTTCTCTTCAATGGAGATTTAAACCCTAATGTATCAGTGTTTCCGATTTGGTTCGCCCCCCCTTGGGCTCTTCTTCTCCCAGAAGAGGATTCCTTTTTTTGGGAAAAGAAAGGTCTTAGGAAATGCCTTGGCTCTGTCCCGGGCTGGCTCAAAGCCTTCTTCGCTCTGTCCTGGGCCAGCTCCAAAAGCTGTTCTTAGCCGTCCCAGCCCTGCTCGAACCTCTTCTTTGGCCAGCCACTGATAAACTGTTCGTACGGCGCAATGCAAAAAATTGCCATCCAGGCTCAAAATGCAAAGATCTGGCCATTTGGCTCCTTCTACGCGTGGCAAGCCGCTGATAAACTGTTCATATGGCGCAATGTAAAAATGGCCATCCAGGCTTAAAATGTAAAGATCTGGTCCTTTTGCTCCTTCTGGGCTTGGCCAGCCGCTGATAAACTGTTCATATGGCGGAATGCAAAAATAGCCATCCAGGTTCAAAATGTAAAGATCTGGTCATTTGTCTCCTTTCTGGGCTTGGCCAGCCGCTGATAAACTGTCGCAATGCAAAAATGGCCATCCAAGCTCAAAATGTAAAGATCTGGTCACCTAGCTCCTTTCTGGGTTCGCAAGCCGCTGATAAGCTTGAATGGCCACCCAAGCTCAAAATGTCAAGATTTAGCCTCCTTTCTGGGTTTTGCCAGCCGCTGATAAACTGTTCATATGGCGCAATGTAAAAATGGCCATCCAGGCTTAAAATGTAAAGATCTGGTACTTTTGCTCCTTCTGGGCTTGGCCAGCCGCTGATAAACTGTTCATATTGCGGAATGCAAAAATAGCCATCCAGGTTCAAAATGTAAAGATCTGGTCATTTGTCTCCTTTCTGGGCTTGGCCAGCCGCTGATAAACTGTCGCAATGCAAAAATGGCCATCCAAGCTCAAAATGTAAAGATCTGGTCACCTAGCTCCTTTCTGGGTTCGCAAGCCGCTGATAAACTGCTCATATGGTGCAATACAAAAATTGCCATTCAAGCTTGAAATGTCGAGGCCTCTTTTCCGGGCTTCGCTAGCCGCTGATAAACTGTTCATACGGCGCAATGTAAAAATGGCCAGCCAAGCTCAAAATGTAAAGATCTGGTCATTTGGCTGCTTTCTGGGCTTGGCCAGCCGCTGATGAATTGTTCATATGGCGCAATTTAAAAAATGGCCATCCAAGCTTGAGAAGTCGAGATCTGGCCATTTGTTGCTGTTCGAAGAGCGTTTCAATTTCCTCTTGCGGAGCAAGATACAATTAGCAACCGGGCTTGCGATGACTTCCAGAGTTGGGGAGTTTATCACTCGCAACCCCCGTCTTGAAATTTGGAGAAACCGAAGAACTCGCCTATGTTGTGGGTAACCAATCTGGGTGGGTGGGAAAGCCAACAAAACTTCTCTCAATCCATTTGATACACCCTCTAGACCCTAAACCCTAAACCCTAAACCCTAAACCCTAAACCCTAAACCCTAAACCCTAAACCCTAAACCCTAAACCCCTAAACCCCTAAACCCCTAAACCCTAAACCCTAAACCCTAAACCCTAAACCCTAAACCCTAAACCTCTATTCTCTACTCTAGTATATATATTTAAATGTTGGCCCTACAACGGGTGCGCCCGCAGGGGGCTTTCTTAAGACTTTCTTTTTAGTTCTGCGCGTGTCCCGCAAGCTTCTAAATCGGTTTCGTTGTTCAAATCCAAGTTCGGGGCCAAAATCGCAAATTTTGCACCGCGCTAAACTTGCGCGCTTTCTAGGTCGAGCCCTCTTGGCCGCGGCTGAACCGCGGGCGTGCCGGGGCCCCGCCGCGGGGCTGGTGGCCCGGTGGTCGCGCGTCCGTCTCTGAAGCGGGTGGTCCCGGGCTCGGTTCCTCCCTGGCGCGCGCTTTGCGCTGAGTCGGCGCGTGCTCTGAAAAGTTTCTTTTCAGTTCTCTGTGCTTCTAAATTTGTTTCGCTCCTCGAATCCAAGCTCGGGCAGATATTGCGCGCGCTAAACTTGCGCGCGCCCGCGCGTGGGCCGCGGGCGCAGCGGGGCCCCGCGGCAGCTTCTGTGGCCTAGCGGTCGCGCGTCCGCGGGTGGTCCCGGGCTCGTTTCCTCCTGCGCGCGCGTGTCTTTTTCGTGGCCCCGTCGTTGTTTCGGGCTGCCGCAACGTTTTTCGTGGCCGCGCCGTGGTTTTCCACTTAGATCAATCAAGAAAGCGCGGCAGCCTTCCGTCATCATTACGCTTGATATCCGCTCTCTGAGCACTTTCGCGGTCGAAACGCTCTTGGCTTTGCGCGGCGCAGAACTTCCAAGCTGGCGGGGCGTTGCAGCTAAACGCGAACTCGAAATCATCGCCAAGCCGTTGGGGCTGCTTCATGAAGCGCCGCTTCTCAGCGGACGTAGTTTCCTGCGCACAGAAACTCGCAGCTACTCTCTGCCCTTGCAACGTATTGCTTGCCGCCTGCCAATTGGTCTTGTTCGCTGCTCGCCGATTTTTGCAGTTTGTCACCTACTTCGTCGGTCGCGCTGCGCGCGCGCCCTCTCGCCGCTTTGCTTTCGCTGCGTTCGATTTGTTGAGTTGCGCTGGTGTGGAAGCTGACTCTTGGTAGCGGGCCTGGGTGGGTGGGATTGAGATCGAAACTTTTGATTGACGTCGCTATGAAGATTTCCATGTCTCAAATCCTGTGAACCCTAAACAGGCGAGCATGCCTCTGGCCATATACATGGGCATGCGAGCCGCCGGGCTCGAGGTCAAGCCGAGACGCCGTTGCAAATCTGAGGGCCTGCTAGGGACAAGCCTAGCAGGACAACCGCTGTGCGGCTCTGCAAGTGGCACGACGACCCACACCCTCTGGCGCAGCCAGTATAGGATTACCCTAAACCGTGCACCATTTGCATGTGGGGGTGGTTTAATGCGCTGTTGATAACTTTTGCATACGGGTAATAGCGGGGACCTGCCCCGAGTGGGGGGGGGTACACGCCGCGCAAAAGGACTTTTTGTAGGTCGCTTCTTGCACTGCTGATAACTTTTGCATACGGGTGATAGCGGGGACCTGCCCCGGCTGGGGGGGGGGCACACGCCAAGCACAAGGAGCCTTGCAGGTCCTTTCTTGCGCTGCTGATAACTTTGCATACGGGTAATAGCGGGGACCTGCCCCGGCTGGGGGGGGGTACACGCCAAGCACAAGGAGCCTTGCAGACAACATCAACGCGCGCTTGGCCCATGCGTGTTTGGGCAGCCGGTCTTGGCGCCTTGGCAACTCCACGCTTTGCAGCATGACCCTGGCGGCCTTGCAGACGCTGAGGATTATGTAGACGCCGTCTACATGGTACTTGCCGCCGCAGCCCACGCCCAGGCAAACGCAGCGTGCGACGCGCTCGTGTCGAACCCGCCCCACGGATCAGGTAGACGGCGTCTACGTGGCGCTTGGCGGCCTGCGCAAGCCTGGGTAACTCCATGCACTGTGTCGTCCGCCCGCCTTGTGGACGCTGAGGATTATGTAGACGCCGTCTACATGGTACTTGCCGCCGCAGCCAGCACCCGTGCCAGCGCAACGCTTTGCAGCGCGACCCACGCCTGCGAGCGCAACGCTTTGCAGCGCGACCCACGCCTGCGCAGGCAAGACGTTTAGCGAGGCAGGCAGCTGGCAGCCCAGCTGCTTCAGACGGCGCCACGTTGGCTTGGAACCCGTTCAAGGGTTCCACCTCGAATGGAACCCTAAACCCTAAAAGTCTTTACCTTGGGTGGCTGGGGCGGGCGAACTTGGCTACGCAAGGCGAGCGGCTTGGGGGATTTAATCCCCGAGCGAGCAACCACATCTGCACACCCTAAACCCTAAACCCTAAACCCTAAACCCTAAACCCTAAACCCTAAACCCTAAACCTAAACCTCTATTCTCTACTCTAGTATATATATTTAAATGTTTGCCCTACAACGGGTCGGGCCGCAGGGGGCTTTCTTAAGACTTTCTTTTTAGTTCTGCGCGTGTCCCGCAAGCTTCTAAATCGGTTTCGTTGGTCAAATCCAAGTTCGGGGCTAAAATCGCAAATTTTGCCGCGCGCTAAATTTGCGCGCTTTCTAGGTCGGGCCCTCTTGACCGCGGCTGAGCCGTGGGCGCGCCGGGGTCCCGCCGCGGGGCTGGTGGCCTAGTGGTCGCGCGTCCGTCTCTGAAGCGGGTGGTCCCGGGCTCGGTTCCTCCCTGGCGCGCGCTTTGCGCTGAGTCGGCGCGCGCTCTGAAAGCTTTCTTTTCAGGTCTGTGTGTTTCCCGCGAGTTTCCTGCTTGAATCCGTTCGGGCAGACTTTGCGCGAGGTAAGCTTGAGCGCTTTCTGGGTTAGGCGCGCGTGGGCCGCGGGCGCGGCGGGGCCCCGCCGCAGCTTCAGTGGCCTAGTAGTCGCGCGTCCGTCTCTGAAGCGGGTGGCCCCGGGCCCGTCGTAGTTTCGGGCTGCCGCAACGCTGTTTGTGGCCGCGCCGTGGTTTTCCATTTCCGGCAATCAAGAAAGCGCGGCAGCCTTTCGTCATCAGTACGCTTGATCCGCTCTCTGAGCACTTTCGCGGTCAAAACGCTCTTGGCTTTGAACACG